TTTCCTATGCTTACATTTTTTATTCTTAAAATACTTTGCCTGCAAACTTAATGTTTCCCAAGTCTACTGACCTCCCTCTTGGATTATTTGATTCTAAAGATATTTTGAACAATCTGGGCCCCAAAAGCTAGCTCTGGATATCCTTGTTCATACTGAAATGTGTTCTTGATGTTTTGATCCAATATGAACTCTAAAAATGATTGTTCTAGCAGAAGTGATTCCGAGAAAGAGAAAAGGGAGTCATTAATAGTAACAAGAAGAGAAGGAAGGACAAGTGTTGGAAATATCACAGATGGACTGGTCGGTAGGATATGCCATGTTAAGAGCCTATTCCTGTTGAGACCTTTGTTAGGCTAGTACAGCGGTGTCAAACTCAAGTCCGGGATTGGATCTGGCCCGTGGGGTACTTAGACCTGGTCCGCGGGGCCACCCTGGAAACAGTGAAGGACTCCCAAGCTCCGTTTTCGCTGGCAGAGGGTTGCAGGAGGCCGTTGCAGCCGAAACGGAGCTTGGGAGCCCATTTTTGATGCCAGAGAGCTTGGGCCACCACAGGCACCCCTGACACGAGTGAGGTCAAGCTGGCCACACCCATCCTGGCCACACCCACCCTGTCTCCCATCAAATACAACCCTGATGAGGCCCTCAATGAAATCAAGTTTGACACCCCTGGGCTAGTACATCAGTGGTGGATGAGGGGGGAGAGGAGAAGGGCTAGGAAGACTGGGATAAGTTTTACAAGGAGCCATGGAGGGAAGTGGAAGGGCAATGGGCATCAATTTTGACTTACTCTAACTCCCCCCTCCCCTCCCAGATTTTGTTTCTGATCAAAATGTTTTGGGTTATTTCTGCTCAGCCGTAAGCTAAAATAGTTGAGAAGTTGGGAACACAATTGTATCAGAATCAAGAAAAAATAAGTTTTCCATACTGTGCCCACCTATTTAATTTCATTCAAGACTGCAGAGATAACTCTGCCCTGGGATATAGCTCTCTCCCTACTCTCCAAGTAGTTGGAATCTATGCCAGTTCCT